CACCACCACCACCACCATCACCATCATCATCATCATCACCATCATCGTCATCAACATCATCATCACCATCATCATCATCATCAACATCATCATCAACATCATCACCATCATCACCATCATCATCATCATCATCATCATCATCACCATCATCATCATCATCACATCGGCTGGGCCTCATGAGCTGGTCTCCTGGGCATACCTGGAGGGTGATGTTGAGGGTCTGGAAATGGCAGTCCAGGTCTTCCAGCTGCACAAAGTTGGACTTGTCCACAGACTCCCCGTACACAAAGGAAGATGGAGACACGATCCTGAGAGAGGACAGAAGGACGTCAATGTCCAATGTGGGCCGGGGACGTACCATGCCATCCCCAGAACCCCATCAACCACGTGAGCTGGAGAGCCACTCGTATTCCAGAAGCAGAACCTTCCATGGGAGGGCCCCCCGTGTTCCGATGGTGGCTTCCATGGAAGGTCCCCGTGTTCCCGGACTCCTCCTGTCCTGGAGGACTCACCCTGTCATGGAGGTGTCCACTTCGTGCAGCAACGGCACTGTCAGTATGAGTGTGTTGTCATGAATGGCGTCGGCGCGCTCCACATTCCCACTGGGGACAACAAGAAGAAGAGTGGCCATGAGCCAGCAGCCAGCACTGGACCTTCACCCGGACATTCTCCACACTACCCTGTGTGTCCCTCAGGTAATTATTGTTATTATTGTGGTTATTGGAGCTTGAACCCAGGGCCTGGGCGCTGCCCCTGAGGTTTTGTGCTCAAGGCTGGTGCTCTACCACTTTGAGCCATATAGAGGGTGCCGCTTTTTGAGTAGTTCTTTGGACTTTCCTTCCCAGGCTGGCTTTGAACCTCAATCCTCAGAATCTCAGCCTGGGATCGGGTAGCTAACTCGCACAGACACCAACATCTGACAGGGCCAGGACAGGAGAGTGGACTCCATGCGTCTCATGAGTCCTCTCTGCAGGCCCCAGCTAGGTAGGCAGGAAGATGGTGGAGGAGGAGGAGGAGGAGGGAAGGCCGATCCCCCCTTACTGACTATTCAAACTCCATCTAAACTGGGATTAGGAGAGGGTGTTTGAGGATAGGGAGAAGGTGTGGGGGGGGGTGGGGATGTTTATCTGCCTTGTTGGGGTAGAAGGGAAGAGGCCCCCCCCAGAGGCTCTGAGGTTCGGATTCTGGCTGGTCCTGATCTTTGGGGTCCACACAGTGTCCTGGCCTCCCTTGGCTGACTGAGCCCGTGTGCTGGCCTGGTAGGGAGGAGGAGCGGATACTAAAATAACCCTGGCGTTCTTCCCCTTCCCTCTCCTATTGTCCTCCACAATGGTACCCTATGATTCTGACCCTCCAAGGCTGCCGCCCCTGACCCAGGCCCGACATCTGTCTGTCTTCTGTACATCGGGTGACATCAGCCTCTCACAGAAGCAGCCACAGAGCCAGGTGCTCCAGCTATGCATGAGGCAGAGCTCTTATGATCTCAGTTCAAAGCCAGCCTGGGCAAGAAAGTCCGTGAGACTCTCATCTCCGATGAACCACCAGAAAACCGGAAGTGATGCTGTGGCTCAAGTGGCAGAGTGCCAGCTTTGCACATAAAAGCTCAGGGACAACACCCAGGCTTTGAGTTCAAGACTCAGGATTGTTCCTGCCAGGCCTGGCTTTGAACCACGATCCTCAGATCTCAGCCTCCTGAGTGGCTGGGATGACAGGGGTGAGCCACCAGCACTCAGCTCTTAAATCTTTTATTTTAAATGCAACAACAACAACAAAAATCCAGTCACTTTGTTCCTTGCCTGCTTACCTCTGCGCAGTCACAATGAAGCGGAGTATGTCCTCGTCCCCAGACAGGTGGCTAGTGTCAAAGATCATGCTGAACTCATACTACAGAAAAAGGAAAAGGAAAGGAAAAGAAAATGGTATTTGGCTCCCACAAGCACTCCATCCTCCAAGAGCTATAATGTTCTGCTACTTCTAACTTCTGGAAGCTGTTATTTATTTATTTACTTAATTAACTCTATTTATTGTGCATCCATACAGAGCCATTGGCACTGGTTAACGGGAAGTTTCTGACTCCCACAAATAGATGACTTGAAGTGCTAACTAACTCCCAGCTAAAGCAATCTGGAGGCAGCGTGTTTGTGAGGTAATTGGGTTGAGATTAAGTTGTGCGCTTCTTATGATTCAATTAGTGTCCTTGAAGGAAAGAAGAGATGACTGGCAGACAGGAGGATGGAGGGTAGAGGCCAGCTCGGGCCAAGTTAGTTAGATACCCTAGGAGGTCCTGGTGGCTCACGCCCATCATCCTAGCTATACAGGAGGCAGAGATCTGAGGATTGCGGTTCAAGGCCAGCCAGGCAGGAAAGGCCACGAGACTCTCATCTCCAATAAACCACCAGAAAACCAGAAGTGGTGCTGTGGCTCCAGTGGTAGAGAGCCAGCCTTGAGCACCAAAGAGGCTCAGGGACAGCACCCAGGCCCCGAGTTCAAGACCTAGGGCTGACAAAAAAAAAAAAGGAAAGGAAAAGATGACGGCAGTGCTGCCACAGACCTTGGGGGCTGTTGGGGAGAATCAGGGGAGACGGTGCAGAGCTGAGCGCCGGTGGGTGAGTGGGGCCCAAGCACCTGCTCCTGCTACTTACCTTGGACGCAGACCTCATGAACGGAAATCCCACACTGCACTTGAGAAAGTCGGATGCCAGGAGCTCGCAGGAAGTGCCTGAGGCTTCCTGGAAGAGAAGCAGCACCGTGTTGGCCACGTGGTCGGGGTGTGTGTGTGGGGGGGGGAAGGGGGGAATCGTTTCTTTTGGGGGTGGGGCGGTTGTCAGCTGAGGAACCCAGGAGATGTGCTGTTGCTGCTGTTTTTCCCCTGACAAATCCCCCGCCTTCTCCTCTGACCGCCCATCTTTTTCCATGGGCAAGCATGGAGGATAAAACCACTATGAATCAAACTGATGCTGTTGCTTGGTCCACACTGGGTGACTGGAAATCCCCTAAGGCCTGGATAGAAAGGCCGCCCAATTTTCCTTCGGGACCACTGTCTAGAGGGCCACTCCTTCATTCCGCCTTTCAAGATCTTGCAGAAAAAGAAGGAGACCTGGCTAGCTGGTAGGGTGCTGGCAGCACACCCCTGTAATCCCAGCTGCTGAGGAAGGGAACTGAATTGGAGGCTGGACGCATCTCACAGCTCCAGCAGAACAATCCAGCTGGATTCTTATCTCCAGCAAGCCAGCAGAAAGCTGGAAGGGGGTACGACTCAAGGGGCAGGGTGCCCAGCCGAAGGGTAAAAGCTGGGCAAGAGCGTGAGGCCCCGAGTTCAAGCCTCATGACTGACAAACAAAAGACCAAAAACAATAAAAAGAAAATTCAACCCAAGAAACATGGAATGCCAGCCAACCTGGCTTCACCACTTTAGTTGATTTTAATTCACTCATATTGATTTCAATTCACTTAAGGCTGGGTCCATTTAATTATCCTCTCTGTCCACTTTGCGAAGAAGGCTGCCAGCTCCCAGGAAACAGGGAGGGGAGAGACTCTTAATTGAACTCTATCTATCAATCTATCTATCTATTTTGTCCAAGTATCTGATACTTTAGCTCACCGGCTGGTGCTCTACGACCTAAGCCTCCCACACTGAACTCCCAATTGTGCAGCAGGCCCCATTTTAGGCCTTTCAGGATGAACAGATTTATTTATCTATTGATTTTGTGGATTGTGGGGTGCAGCTTGAACATGGGGCCTGGGCGCTGTCCCTTAGTGCTTCACTCAAGCCTGAGGCTCTACCTCTTGAGCTGTTGCTCTGCTTGTGGCTGTTTTTTGGTGGTTAAAGGGAGAGGAGTCTCATGGACCTTCCTGCCCTGGGCTGACTTCGAACAGCGATCCTCAGATCTTGGTGTCCTTTGTGGCTAGGACTGTAGGTCCGAGCCACCAGTTCTTGATTTTTTTTTTTGTTGCAGGCTTGTTTTTTGGTGCTGGTCCTGGGGCTTGAACTCAGGGCCTTGCATTCTTGCTTGGTTTTTTCAGGCGAAGCTAAGACTCTAGCGTTGGGGCCACAGCTCTGCTTCTCCGCTTTTTGATTTTTTTACTTTTGGTTCATTGGAGATGAGTCTGGTGGCTTTATTTTTTTTTTCTTCCTGGGCTGGTTTTGAACCATGATCTTCATGTCTCAGCCTCCCTGCTAAGCTAGAATCATAGAATGCTGGGCTTGCGTAAAAGCTTGGGGACAGTGGTCAGGCCCTGAGTTCAAGCCCCACAACCATGAAAAAGAAAGAGGGCCCCAGATGTGCTAAACCGCAGGAGGGGGATGAAAGGGGCATGCATTTGACAGGGGCCGGCCGTGAACCTTGAAGTGACTGGAAATCCGGAAACTGTTCCTCTAGGTCCTGAGCATTTCAGACAAACTGTATGCACCTGTTCCTCCATGTGTGGCTGGCTAGGTTCATCCCACCCCACATGGCCGGGTGTACCCCACAGCCTGAACAACAGCCCCCTAAAGGGAGGCAGGCTTCTGAAAACTTGCCAAAATGGCTGTTCATGATCTGAATCTGAATGGACCCTTGTATGGGCTGTGTACCTGGCTCACAGGAAGGGGAAGGGGGAGGGAGGAGTGGGCAGAAAGGCTTTTAAAGAGTGGTGTTCTGGGACTGGGCAGGTGGCTTAGTGGTAGAGTGCTCGCCTAGCATGCATGAAGCCCTGGGTTCGATTCCTCAGTACCACAGACACAGAAAAAGCCAGAAGTGGTGTTGTGGCTCAAGTGGTAGCATGCTAGCCTTGAGCAAAAGAAGCTCAGGGACAGTGCCCAGGCACTGAGTTCAAGCCCCAGGACTGGCAAAACAAATTTAAAAAATAAAGGGTGGTATTTCAAAGCATGAGACAGATCTACAGTTTGTAGAATTGCTGGGGGCTTACGCCTGTCATCCTAGCTACTCAGGACGCTGAGATCTGAGGATCACAGTTCATAGCCAGCCCTGGGCAGGAAAGTCCATGAGACGACTCTCATCTCCAATAAACCACCACCAAAAACTGGAGGTGGCGCTGTGGCTCAAGTGATAGAGCGCCAGCCTGGAGCAAAAGGAGCTCAGGGAGGGCATCCAGGCCCCGAGTTCAAGCCCCGGGACTGGCACACACAAATCCATCCATTAATATAATCTGCTGATGGGAAGGCAGAGCCATGTCCCGGGTCCCCGTGCTCAGCCCAGGCTGTAACTCTCCCCGTGAGTCCCCCCACAGCCGCCTCTTGCAGCAACCTCAGCCAGGCCTTTGGAAAAAAGAACGACGAGGTTTTCCTTGGCACAGAGCGTAGATTTCCTGCCCAACCCCACAACTCTGAGAATAAACACCTCCCACTCCCGCCCCGCTTCCTCTGTCTCGCAGCCGGCTCTCTGCCCCTCGAGCAGAGAACCGGTATCTCTGATTCTCTGTTCTCCACGGCTCTATGAACTGGCTTTCCATGGCCTTGGGGAGTGGAAGGCAGCCGTTTTCATCTGGAATGTTCTGGATAAGGGCTGCGGTGGGAATGGGGGGGGGTCAGCATCTATGAGCATGTGTTGGTACTTGCTGGGCTTTTGTGCACAAGGCTGGCGCTCTACCACTCAAGCCATGCTTCCACTCTCGTCTTTTTGCTGGTTAGTGTGGATCTAAGCGTGGGGTGGACTTTTCAGCCCAAGCTGGCTCCAAACCTCAGTCTCCTGATGGGCAAAGTGGCGGCCAGACCACCGATGTCACCAGGGAAGCATTTGCATCACACTTTACACTTGTGCAACACTCCCAGGTGAGAGGAAAGGTCCTATGAACATCTAACAACGGAAGCCTCCCCCATCCCACCCCAGGGGCGCATGCCTGGTACCCCAGCTGCTCAGGAGGCTGAGCTCTGAGGATCGCGGTTCAAAGCCAGCCCGAGCAGGAAAGTCCATGAGACTCTCATTGCCAATGAACCACCAGAAAACCCAACATGGTTCACGTGGTAGAGCTCATGCCTTGAGCTGAAGAGCTGAGGGACAGCGTCGGGGCCCAGAGTTCAAGCCCCAGGCCCAACACACACACACACACACACACACACACACACACACACACACACACACACACATACACACCCCACATGCCAATCTAGAAGACAGCTGCCAAAAAAATGGCCCTCAGCTTTATTTACTGTCCCTAAACCTTCAGAGTATAGTGGAGGGTACTGCAAACGAGAAGAAAGGGCCGAAGGCAAACACAGTATTCTCCAGGCGGAAAGGGGCATGTTGACATCTGCTCCCGTGTCAATATTTGAGAATTGTCGAAGCACATTTATTCCTTTATTTGAAATACCCTTAACTGTGTTCAGATGTTTAAAAAATGACTATAAATCATTTTAGGAGCAGCAAGAACTTGCGATGAAAGTAAAATGAACCCTTATTTGTCTTTTTTTTTTTAACCTGGATTCCTTTTTTTTATTTAGTTAGCTAACAGTTTCTTGAATGGCATACTTCAGATATTCTAAGTTTTTAGACACCTCCACACTCAAAAGTTTTCTGACCCAGAGTGAGAACAAGGAGAGAAAGAGACGAAGAGGTCTGTACCAAATCTCGCTAGGCCTGGGGTTCTGGCTCTGCGGGGGATGAGTCCTGAGGATCACGGTTTGAAGCTAGCCTGAGCAGAAAAGTCCAAGACTCTCATCTCCAGTTAAGCACCCCCAAAGCCACAAGTGCAGGTATGGTTCAAAAGGTAGAGCCCCAAGCCTTGGGCAAGAAAAAAAGCTCAGACCCTGAGTTCAAGCCCCAGACCTGGAGAAAAAATTAAAAAACAAAAGAGCCAGGAGAGAGGTTTTGTGGAAGAGGAGTTAGGGCCTTGGTTTCGGGGACCCTACCCCCATCTTGACCGCCCCTTTCTGTGTTCACACAGCCTGTCCTGATCTCTAAGGATACGTTCAGCCCATCTGATGGGTGGAGAAGCCCGGCCCCCAGCCCTAACAGGCCTAACAGGCGTTAACATTTCCTACTGGTGCGTCCCTAAATCCCCATTGGGAAGAGAACCAGGGGTGACTCTGGAAAACTGGCCCACCCCAGTTTGCCCCTCCCTCCACACACTAGAATATTCTTTTCTCCCAGTGAGCAGTGAGGGAGAATTCACTCAGGTGCAATTTGGAAAGCTCTCTCTCTTTTATGTTGGTTTTGGGGCTTGAACTCAGAGCCTGGATTGCTGTCCCTTAGCTTATTATTATTATTGTTATTATTATTATTATTATCATTATTATTGCTTAAGGATGATCGTTGCTACTACTTGAGCTGCACCTCCATTTCTGGCCTTTTGGTGCATCACTGGATATAAAGAGTCTCCCTGGTTGTTTTTTCCGTCCCGAGGCTGGCTTTGAACTGTGACCCTCCCATCTCAGACTCCTGAGCGGCTGGGATGGCAGGCTGGCATTATCACGGAGTGAGAGGTCATCTTCCTGAGAGAGGAAGATGGGTGCTGGGAGGCGGCCGCAGTTCCGGATCTGGCCCGGGCAGCACCGGTGGGCATGGAGGGAGCCTGGCATGGGTCTTGGCCTCGAGGCCAAGGCTTTTGTAGCACTTGAAGGGCACCTTGTTCAGAGAGATGGCATCTGCCCCAGAGGATCCACCACGCTTCCTGCCTTCACAGCCCCGCGCGCACACACAGAGCAGGAGACGTGATGTCACGAGAAAGGCCCAATTCATGGGGAGAACCCAGCCACCCGGCCGTCCTGGCGAGCACTGGACACGAAGACTCATTACCATGCAGAGAGGATGCGCCCAGGCCAGGGAGTCTGGCTGTCCACATAGGCCAGCCCTGCTCTGCTGAGCCTTGCTTCCCCCCATCGGATTTTAATGTTTTAAGATCATTATGGGGAGGGGGGGACATCCTCCCTGGGCTACGAGGCTCACACCTGTCATCCCAATTTGCTCAGGAGGCTGAGAGCTAGATTGCAGTTCAAAGCCAGCCTGAGCAGGAAAGCCTGTGAGGCTGCTTTTTTTTCCCCTTCTCCTTGCCAGTGGGTTTTAAACTCTGGACCTGGGTGCTGCCCCTCAGCTCTTCAGCGCAAGACAAGCACTCTACCACTTGAGCTACAGCGCCACTTCCAGTTTTCTGGTGGTTCCTTGGAGATAAGAGTCTTATGGACTTTCCTGCCCAGGGCTGGCTTTGAACTGTGATCCTCAGATCTCAGCCTCCTGAGTAGCTGGGATGACGGGCCTGAGCCACCAGTGCCTGGCCAGCTTTCTTTCTTTTATTCTTTCATTAGAGATGCTGTCATGTGCTGTGAAAAAAAAAAATTAAAACCAAGACTCCTTATGTGCCCTTAAGAGAGGAAATTGTTCAATTGCTCTCTTGTAGTAAGTCAGTGGAGGGGAAGGAAAAACAACCAGGGGTCTGAATGTGCGTGTTCTAAATTCCCCTCGCCCTCTGCCGGCTCTCTCCATCCACCCAGGTGGCAAAGCACAGCTTTTGCTCTGTTGATGTTTCCAAAGCCAAGCGCTCCCCTCTTTCCCGACGTGGTGAATATACAAACAGAGCTTTTCATGAGGCGAGAGCCAAACCCAGCCGGCCAATGCGAGGCCCAGGTGGCGGCTGTGATTAGAAATAATCACTTGAGTTTCTTACCAGAACCTTCTACCCCGGGCTGGCTACCATGCAAAGCTGCCTGCCTGCTAAGAATACAGCCAGCGAACCTGCTCGGCTCTGCCTTCTCCAGTGCCCTCAGCGACAGAGAAACAATTCAAAATGCTCAGGGCTGGGCCTGGTGCCAGTGGCTCAAGAGGCTGAGATTGCAGGATCACAGTTCGAAGCCAGCCCGGGCCAGTTACCCAGTGAAAAGGTGGAAGTGGAGGTGTGGCTCAAGTGGTAGTGCATCAGCCTGAAGCAAAAAAGCTAAGGGGGCAGTGCTCAGGCCCTGAGTGCCAAAGGCCCAGTTACCAGCACAAGAAAATAATATCAATAAAATAGAAATAAAGACAGGGGATTTACTTTTGACAGTCCCCAAATGGAAGATCAGGAGCTGATTGTTATTCTAGAAACTTCCCTCCACTGGGAACGGAGCCAAGTAAGGTTTTCTACCTGTCGAGATGCAGGAAGTTCAAGGTAAAGTCGTCCGGGCCTAGGGGTGCAGGTCGGGGACAGGAAAGGGGTGGGAAAAACATTGTTTTCTGAGTATTAATGTCTCCCCTCAGGGCTTGCTTAACCAGGGCAAGCGGTAAGTTCAATCCATCATCTTAATGGCTCAGCCAAAAAGTCTAGAAGCATCTTGCCCAGTTATTAACTAGAGACATGGGAGAGTGGAGCACAATGGAGACTTGGTGTGTGCCCTGGCAGGGGCGAGCGGCCGGGGTGGAGGCAGGCTGTCGGTCATCCGCTGAGATCCTGAAGGATGAGGTGTGTCTACCTGCAAATGTGTGATTTCCCCAGATTTCCCAACACACTGGGCGCCTTGTGTTCCCCCTATATATGGGGCGGGGGAGGGAAATCTCCGGTGTGGGTTCAAGCCAGGCACTCCCACAAATAAAACATTACACAAACACTTTACTGTGCAAATCCTTCTTCTTCTTTCTCTCTCTCCCTATTCAGATCAGGAAGTGGGTCAGTTTTTATCACCTGGTGCCATCTTGAATTTTGAGACGGGAGACTCTGGGAAAGGTAATGCCCAGGACTTCCCTCTCTTTGATGGAGAATCTGGCTAATTTTCCTTTCATGGCTTATCCTTTCAAAAAATACATACTCTGCTTAAAATAATAAAGGGAATGCCTTTGAACTTCTCTGATAATTCTGCTGTCACATCTCCCACATTAGGCCCTGTCACACAAAGAAATGGAGACATGGGTCTCTTCCTCTATCACCCTGGCTTCCCAGAATCCTCAGGGAGGAGTCTGTCAAAGTTGCGGCTCGACATAAACACTGCTTTGTCTGGGGTAGCCTCCATTTGACAAGAAGCTATTTTAGCTTCAGCCATATTCTGCGAAAAGAATTGTGTTTTCTAGGAACTGAAGGTGTGGCTCAAGTGGTGGAGGCCCAGTCAAATAAAGAGTTGTTCTTCTGACAAGTTCTTTTTTTTTTTTTTTTGTGGGTCATGGGACTTGAACTCTGGGCCTGGGCACTGTCCCTCAGCTCTTCAGCTCAAGGTTGGTGCTCTACCACTTGAGCCACAGCACCACTTTTGGCTTTCTAGGGGTTTATTGGAGATAAGAGTCTCATGGAGTTTCCTGCCTGGGCTGGCTTCGAACTGTGATCTTCAGATCTCAGCCTCCTAAGTAGCTAGGATGACAGGTGTGAGCCACTGGCGCCCAGCTTCAGCCTTATTTTAAAAAAATCTTAATTTATTTTTACTTCATTACACCAGCTGAGGAGGGAACAACTGTGTAAATCATGTTACGAGTATAGCGCACCTTGATCTATGTCACCCTTCCGTGTTGTCCCCCAGATCTCAGACTCTTAAGCTAGGGTTACAGGTATAATTGAAACTTTCTAGAATGTACACATGCTGGAAATGTACAAATGCACCTACTCAAAGAAAGGTCCAGATGAAAAGCTACAGGGAGAAAAGACACAAGGGACAGTGTAAGCTGGGCACCAGTGGCTCACGCCTGACCTCCCAGCTACTCATGAGGCTGAGATCTGAAGACTGTGGTTCAAACTCAGCCTGAGCAGAAAACTTCATGAGACTCTTATCTCCAATTAACCAGCAAAAAGCCTGAAGTGGCAGTGCGGTAGAGTGTCAATCTTGAATGAAAAACTCAAGTGACTTAGGAGAGGAACAGAAAGGCACAATGCCTATGTATATCCGATCGATTGGACAAAATAGTTATCGAAATGAACTCCGGAAATGGAAACAACTTTTTTTTCCTTTTTGTTTTTTGTCTTGTTTGTTCATTTGTCTGTCTTTGGGGGGGCACAGAAATAGAGGACAGAGGGTGAACAGAGGCAGCCGTGGTCCTCACTGGACACGATGTAGAGACTGAAGGACAGGAGGGAAAAACAGAAGACAGCGAGGGAAGGGGGACATGGTTCAAAAGGAAACGTGCTCATTTCCTGACTTATAGAACTGTCACCCCTCTGTCCATCACCTCGATGATAACAATTCAAAATATTTTTAAATTGGAGATTTTGGAATTTCTCTTATTTTATACGTATTTATATTGTATACCATCTATTATTTCCATTATATTTATCACATTATAATGTTGTAAATTATATTTATATTCCATTTATTATTTATTGGTTGCTTTTGGTTCAAAGCACGTATAATGATAGGTAATCATGTGTAATAATTTTAAAAAATTAAAAAAAAAGAAATGCTCAAATGAGAGTATGAGGCCCTGAGTTCAAGTACCAGTACCAGCACACACACACATGCGCGTGCACACAGATACACACACACACACACACACACACACACATGCACATGCGCACGAGGCGACATATAATACAGGCATTCTCCAAGGTATACTGCTTGTATAGCATATGACTATACTAGCATACTGTCCAAGTGGAGAGGGAATTCTATCTGCTGAGGTTTCTGTGAGGACCGTCGCAGCTGAGGGCGCCCTCTCAGAAAGCTGAACTGGCTGTGCCAGATGGACCAAATCTGCCTCCAGGGCAGGCCGCTTACCGTCTGCCACATGTTGATGAAGAAGAGCTCCCGGGAGACATTGAAGGACACGCTGGCATCGTAGGCGTCGTCCCCCAGGTTGGAGATGGAGATGTTGACAGAGATATTCTTCACTGCCCCTAGAGCTAGATATGGAGTTGTTTCATCCACACTACAATAGAAACAAAAGCAACAGCAGTGAACAGCCTGAAACCCGCCCTGGGATAACACAGGCATGGAGAATGCTTGGAAGTGGTAGGCGGGAATTAAGAGTCAGGACTACAAGTCCCAGAATCCCATTCACCAGCCAAGTGTCAGGGCAACGGGTCCCATGGGCCTTTGCTAGTTCATTTCAAACTCAGGTCTTGGGCGTTGGTGGCTCATGCCTGTCACCCCAGCTATTCAGGAGGCTGAGATCTGAGGATTGAGGTTCAAATTCAGCCCAGGTCGAGAAGTCTAGGAGACTCTTATTGCCAATGAACCAGCAAAAAATTCCAGAAGTGGCGCTGTGGCTCAAGTGGTAGAGTGCTAGCCTTGAGCTGAAGAGCTGAGGGACAGCGCCCAGAGTTCAAGCCCCCTGACCAACAACAACGAGTACTCAGTCTCTCAGTAGGCTGTAGTACTTTAGCATACACATTTTGGGGAAAGAATCATCCTTCGCCATCCATGAGGAGAAGCCTCACTCTCTCTCTCGGGTCTGGCGTGTCCACAAGAATAACATGTACAACAAGAACTCAGAGGGCCTGGCTTTGGAGGCGAGCGGTCTGAGGATGCAAACAAGATGTGAAAAATGAACTCGGAGAACTCTGCATTCTTGAGCGGTCTCCAGTACATGAAGGGACCCTGACCTCAAGCCATTGTGGCAATTATTTATTATTGTTGGCCTTCTTCGACTTAAACAATGGACGGGTTATTTCTGTCCTCGTTTGCTTTTGTAAGATTAAAGGAGTCATAGACAGACCTGGAGTTATGAGACAGCACTAACCCAGCTTTAGCTCAAGAAGGAACTACACTCAACTGGTCACCTCACAGCGACCACAGTTAGGAGGGTAGAATATTCAGCTGAGGGAACAGAGGGAAATTCAGCACCGTGGCGGGGGTAATTCTACTGTTGTGCTCTGTACCAGTCGATTCCCCTCATCTGCAAATGCCAAGGGGTCACACACCAGACGTTTTGACTTATTCCAGCCCCTGTAATGCAAACCTCTTGACATTTAATTATGAATCAATGCCCCTTCCTCAAACGTGTTTCGGGGATGAAGGGAAGCCAGGTACCTGTCCGGGGTACAGCGTGAACTCCAGGCTGCAAGGAAGCCTTGAAGCTGTCACTCCTGTGTTTTCGAAAGCTCTAAACCCATGACCAAAATAGTCCATCTTTGCTTCCCGAAGTTATTCTTAGAAGTGAAATGAAAATCTAATTTGCCAGCCTGGGCCTGAGTCCTGTCAAACATGTCTTCCTGAAATCTCACAGTGGGTCAGGGTATTAATGTCAGGGTTCCTGTGTGTGTGTGTGTGTGTGTGTGTGTGTGTGCATGCACATGCACGTCTGCATGTGTGTGTGTGGGGCGTTGAACTTTGGGCCAGCTCATTGTCTCTGATCTTTTATGCTCCAGGCTGGTGCTCTACCATTTGAGCCACAGCTCCACTTCAGGCTTTTTTATCATTCACTGGAGGTAAGAGTTTCACAGGCTTTCTCCTCAGGCTGGATTCGATCAGCTGTCCTTAAGAGTACAGTCTCCTGAGCAGCTGGAATTGTAGGCATGATTAATGGCACCCATTTTTAAAAGACATGAAGGATACAATGTGGGTAAGGTGGCTGGCCGTGGGCTGTGCTGGGGTTGGGTGCCCGGGGCATCTGTGCCCAAAATGCTCCTTCTTGTCCGCCATCACACACATTTCCTAGTTCTAGCCTGTCATGTCTAGGCCCTTCGGCAGTCCTGTAAGGACTGGGGAAAAAGAGACCTATCAGGAGATACCCCGTTGTTCTCATCAGCTCTTCAGGTCTTGCCGGGTGCCGGTGGCTCACGCCTGTCATCCCACCTACACAGGAGGCTGAGATCTTAGGATCGCAGTTCAAAGCCAGCCTTGGGCAGGAAAGTCTGTGACAGCCTTATCTCCAATGAACCACCAGAAAACCAGAAGTGGTGCTGTGGCTCAAGTGGTGGCGTGGAAAAACTCAGGAAGAGCACCCAGGCCCTGAGTTCAAGCCCCACAACTAATCAAAAAACAAAACAAAACAAACAAAAAAGAAAGTTGAGCCCCAGAGAAGAGAACATACTTCATGCAAGTCCTCAGGTAGGGCGTAAGAGCAGTGAGCTCTGTTTGGGATGGAGACCATTGGAGCCCTTAGATGACAAGACTCCATGGGGTGGCGAAGGGCTTTGGCATGAAAAGTCTTTTGACAGCATGAAGAAAGAAAAGGACTCCACATGGATGGCTGTGCCAAAATTCTCGAACAATCAGGCCACAGTTTCGTGTGCCAGACATTCCATGGGTGCTTATTTATTTATTGAAGGACAATTTCCTTTAATTTCCAGGGGATCTGATTCTCTGATAAACTTTCCCATTAACTCCAATTTTCTGGGGAAGCCTTTGAAGCAGGCCACATTGCTTTATACATGAACTCTTCGGTGTGCTTGTATGTATGTATATGTGTATACACACATATATAACATATACATGTATATATACACACACACACATACGGGAAGGGGGACATTGTCCAAGAAGAAATGAAGACACTCTTCTTGACTTATGGAAACGAAACCCCTCTGTACATCACCTTTGTAATACCATAAAAATTGTTTTTAAAAACAAAGAAATGTGTAGAATAGTCAGTATAAGATACAAATTGTAGGACTGGGAAGGTGGCTCAGTGGTAGAGTGCCCGCCTAGCATGCATGAAACCTGGGTTTGATTCCTCAGCACCACATACACAGAAAAAGCCAGATATAGTTCTGTGGCTCAAGAGGTAGAGCACCAGCCATGAGCAAAAGAAGCTCAGGGACAGCACCCAGGCCCTGAGTTCAAGCCCAAGAACTGGTTAAAAAAAAAAGATACAAATGTAAGTTTTCTGTAAATTTGATATTTTAGCACTTTTTTGTCTTTTGTCAGGCATGGGGCTAGCGCCTGGGGCCCCGGGGGGCCGTCCCTGAGCCTCTCTGTGCTCAAGGTGAGTGCTTTACCACTTTGCGCCACAGTACCATTTCCTGTTTTTGAGGGGTTCATTGGAGATAAGAGTCTCACTGCCCTGGCTGGTTTTGAACCTTGATCCTCAGATCTCAGCCTCCTGAGAAGCTGGGATGATAGGCGTGAACCACCGGTGCCCAGCTGAGATGCTTGTTTTTGATCTTCACAGTTTTCCTTGAGATTTGTGGAGGCCATCGGGGCGAGGTCAGATGTCTGGGACACAATCTCTTAAGAAATCGTTTCTTGGCACTTTAGTTGACAACTACCAAAACGTTTCCATTTTTAGACTTTCAAACGAGCAAACACATGAGCACATCCTAGGACCCAGTTACTCATCCATGTCTTCCAGGGAGAGAACATGAGCCAAAGTTCCAAATGAACTTGGGGTTGGAGGCGTGGCTCAGGCTGTAGAGCTCCAGTCTATGAGCCAAAGCAAGTTTCAGATACCGAGCTTGAGTCTGGGTCTCAGACCAAAAAGTAAACATAAAAAAATAAACTGATCGCAATGAAGGAACAAGAAACATGCCAGAACAGTGAGTGGAGACTTCCTGCTCCTGCATGCAGGCTGGTGAGTGAACCCCAGGAAGTACACCGCCAAGGTGAGATGTGCTGGAAGGGTCCGGTACCGGCAGCTCACGGGGGTCACCCTAGCTAGTCAGGAGGCTGAGATCTGAGGATGGCGAATTGAACTCTGCACAGGCAGGAAAAGCACATGAGACTCTTACATGCAAGTGCACCAGCAAAAAGCCAGAAGTGGAGCTGTGGCTCAAGTGGTAGAGCACCAGTCTTTCGTGTAAACACAGAGCAAGAGCATGGCTCCCTGAGTTCAAGCCCCAGCACTGGCACATGTGTACGTACACACACAGACACACAGACACAGACACACACACACACACACACAGATTCTTTCTTTTCCAGTTACTGGGCACAGGCCCCAAAAAGGTCTGAGCCGCAGTTGGAGATGGGAAGTGCCTCTCTGTAAGACACCTCGATTCATGTTCGCAGGACATCAGAGAAAGGGGTTTCTGGGATTGAATCTCTAGTTTGAAAATCCACCGAGATGGCGGCAGAACCTCTTCCTCCTCCCCTGTACTGATTTCTCTACTGGGGTCTAAAGTGAGAGAAAAAGAATGGAATGTACGAAGGAGAATGGGGTGGAAGGAGGGTTCTCCCTATCAAGATTCAGATACTTGCAGTTAAGTGCACAGCACTTAAGAACAGCATTTTCAAATAAAAATTACAAGAAAAGAAAAAAAAAAGAATAGCATGTCACCAGCTGCCAGTGGCCCACGCCTTAATCCTAGCTGGAGGCGGCAATCTAAGGATCTCAGTTCAAAGCCAGCTCAAGCAGGGAAGTCTGAAAAGCCAGAAATGGAGGCTCAGGTGGTAGAGAGCCCGCCCTGAGTAAAAAAGCTAACGGACAGTGCCCAGGCCCTGAATTCAAGTCCTAGTACTAGAAAAATATATAAATACATAATATACACTTATAAATAGATAATATGTATATTTAGATATGTAATATCGTATATGTTATATACATTGTGTTAGACACATATAAATAAATGTACACAAAAATGTACGTATTTACAAATTTATACTATATAGTATATACTGTGTACTTATACATGTCATTTTTATATTACAGTATAGATTATATTTATATTACATATGTATATGTAAATATATTGCTATATTTACATAACATAAATATATTTTACATATTTAATTTACATGTAACTATATAATATATAAACATATTTATTATTCACTGCTTATAAATATATGTTTACTATATATGAGCATATTTATATATCTATACAGAAAGAAATACACATGCAAATATTATAGTACATATTGTACATCATAAAATGAACATGACCATGTAAATTTGTTTACGCATGTGTAAGTTCAGATAGACATGGAGTAAACATGTGAGCATATGCCGATGTCCCTGTGACCTGGCCCAGCAGAGGCTCATGAACAGCCATGGTCATCTTCCTCTGCAAAGCACAGCCAAGTGGTTCCGTCCCTCTGGGTGCTCAGCCTCCCTCCCCGGTCCCTGGGAGAGGAATTCAGGATGGCTCGGGGCTGGGCTTGGGGCTGGGGCCATCTGGAATGCATCACTGGCGTGGCAGGAACCACTGGATGTGGGACAGGGCCTCCCGGGTGGGGAGGGGTGCAGAGGAATGTCCCCCAGGCTCTGCGCTAGGCCTGACCTCACCACACTGGGGGGTGTTGGAGGATGTGGGGCTGTTCCCCGCCCCCGCCTGCATCAGGGCTACACTCAGCCAGTCAGGAGCCCGCCAGCTGGACAACTGGCCAAAACTCGCATCAGGAAGGCCCCCGGGCCTCTCATAGGGACTGATGATGGCCACAGTGTCCCCACCAACCCAGTGCCAGAACTCGCATCAGGAAGGCCCCAGGGCCTCCCATGGGGACTGTCCAAGATGGCCACAATGTCCCCAGCCACCAACCCAAACATCAGCCAGAAGGCCAGGCACCGGGGCCCACGCCTGTCATCCCAGCTACTCTGGTGGCTGGGATCTGAGGATCATGGTTTAAAGCCAGTCCAGGCAGCAATGTCCTCTGATCATCAATGAACCAGGGAAAAGTGGAAGTGTGGGTGTGGTTCAAGTGGTTAGAGCACTAGCCTTGAGGGAAAAAGCTAAAAGACAGTGCTCAAACTTCAAGTTCCAATATGTGTGTGTGTATGTTTGTGCATACACAAGAGAGCATGTATTCTCTTTCTCTCATACACATATGAATGTCACAGGCAAGAAAAGATAACAAAATATACCAAAGATAGCAGCAAAATATACAAAATATACAAAATTTTCCCACCTGGGCATCCTTTCTCTTGTGAAATGATGTATGCTCTACGAGAGATAAAGGAAATAAAGCATTCTCTCTTTTCTCTCTCCCTTGTGTTGTTATTGGGGTTTGAATTTATGGACTTGCACTTTTTCCTGGCTTTATTTATTTTTTTTGCTCAGGGAAGATGTTTACCACTTGAGCCACACCATCACCTTTGGCTTTTGCCCTCAGAGATAAGAACCTCCTCAATTTGTCTGCCTGTGCTGACTTCAGACCATGGTCCTTGGATCTCAGCCTCCTGAGTCACTAGGCAGACAGCCACTGGGGCTGGGCCTAGAGCAGTTCTGCCTGGTTTCTGGGTTTCTGATGGAAGAGACTCCATGTCCATCATGCAGCCCCTCAGTGAGCATGAGCTCCCATGTCAGGGTTCTCTGCTTGAAATCCATTGCCCACATTTTCTTTGAGCTCACAAAAGCATTGACGGATTTCCCTGTGACTTTAATAAGCAGAGAACCAAAAACAAATGTGTCCCTTACCCCCAGCATCTTCAGAGGCCTTGTTAGAAGAATTTTCCAATAGTTTAACTTGAGTGTGTATGTGTGTGAGTGTGTGTTCTGGAACTTGAACTCAGGGCCTGGGCGCTGTCCCTGAGCGCTTTTGCTCAAGGCTAATGCTCTACCACTTTGAGCCACAGCACCAATTTTACTTTTTGAGTGGTTTGTTGGAGATGGGTCTCACAGACTTTTCTGCCTGGCTGGCTTTGAACTGTGATCCTTAGAGCTCAGCCTCCTGAGTAGCTAGGGTGACTGGCGTGAGCCACCAGCGCCTGGCCATATTTGTCTATCATCATAACCAACTATCACAGTCCACTTCTTTCGTTGTTATTAGTAATACTAGGGTTTGAACTCTTGATTTTTAGCTTTTTTTACTGGTGCTTTTATCACTTCAGCCATGGTCTTACTGCTGGCTTTTGCTGTTTAATTAGAGGATACCCATACTTTCCTTCCCTGGCTCAAAACTTTCAGCTCTCAGCCTTCTGAGTGGCTGGGATGACAGGTGTGCGTTACTGGCCGGGTTTACCTGTCTTGATGGGGAAATCCGAGCCTTCAGGACGAGTGGTCCTGGAGTTAAGGAGAAGCGGGTTTCTCTGGGAATGATGGTAGTAAGAGGAGTGCATACCTGGAGAGCAGCAGCTTGCCTCGGAGCTGCAGGTCGGCCGCGCAGTCCTCCGACAGGCAATTCCTCTCGAAGACTGTCTGTGAAAGACACAGCAAGCCAATTGGAACAAGACTTAAGAACCCAAGGGCAAACTGCAGCTGATCTCCTCCTTGTAAATCAGCAGGGACGCATTCTCCTGGCCCTTTACACACCCCAAGGCATCAGGTGCCTTGCATGGTGAGAGGAACCTTCCAGAGGCTTTCAGAAACCTCTAGGCTGACAAGGGGACTCTAAGAAACACTGGTCAGAGATGCTTTTGCCAGGTTCTATGAATTCACTAGACAGCGCTCCCTCCCCAACTGCGTATCTGGGTCCTGGGCCCCTCTTCTCTACCACAGACTCCTGGCAATCACCCAGCTTGCAGGAGCAAAGAGGAGGTTGAGGGCCTGGGCACTGTCCCTGAGCTCTTCAGCTCAAGGATAGCTCTCTACCACTGGAGCCACAGCACCACTTCAGGTTCATTGAAGATATGAGTCTCCTGGACTTTCCTGCCTGGTCTGGCTTTGAACTGAAATCCTCAGACCTCAGCCTCTTGGGTATCTGGGATAATAGGCAAGAGCCACTGCCCAGGCTGGGGTGGTATTTTTCCTAAGACTTGAGGACAGTCTGGATGGCTTGAATCCCACCCTAGCTGGCCACAATTCAGACCACCCACTGCAGCAGGTCTTGCCCCTGCCACCCTGGGCCGGGCAGTGAGCTCAGGGTTCTGACCTGGTTCTTCTGGGCGACCTTCTGCCCTTTCTTCCAGCGCAGTACGGGAGTCAGTGCCGGCAGCTCCCTCTCCTCCTCCTCCCCAGCCTTGTGGGCTCCCAGGCTGTAGGCGGCCTCGAACACGATGGGGCTGATGACATCTCGCACCCTAGGCTGCAGCAACAAACAACACCGGGCCGGTGAGGGGGGGATGGAGATGAAAGAGGGGGAAGGGGTCCGAGGAGGGGGCTGGAGCCCTGAGGCAGCACGCTGTGGTCCTTGAACTCCTGTTCACAATGAGGCGTCTTCCTCCCACAATGCTCTGGTGTATTCCCACCCAAATGCTCCTCCTTCCCACAATGCTCTTGGCTCCTGCTCAAAAGCAATTGGGGCACGCTTCACACATGATGGAGGACAACCAATGAACTGACTCCTGCATCCTAGTTCTGGGGTTTCTGCTCAAGTGCTCCTCCTTCCCACAATGCCTTGGGCTCCGGCTCAAAATGCTTCATCAGCAATTGGGGGCGCCTCACACGTGGAGGTCAACCAATGACTTACTTCTGCTTTCTAGCTCTGTGTTTCCGATCAAGTGACCCTTCTTCCCAGAATGCCCTGGATTCCCGCTCAAGTGCTCCTTCTTCCCACAATGCCCAGGGTTTCCACTCATACGCCCCACTGTGCCCTGGGTGGCGCTTGGTACTCCCGTGCCGTTAGGGCCTTAGGGCCGTGTGCACAGCTGGGCATGGCTGACCACTTTCCTCCTTGAGTGCCGGCCGTGCGCACAGCCAAGTCGCACTTGGACTTGTGTTTTGTTTCTGTGCATTATGTACAAAGCCATTCCAGAGCCTGCGACGTGGGAGGTTGAGGCGAGAGGCCCACAGTTCGAGGCCGGCCCAAGCAGGACTGGCTCTGGGAGCGATCCAGCAAGAGGCCAGGACAAAGTGTGGCCCAGTGGGTGAGCACCGCCCTGAGTAAGAGCTGAGGGGAGAGAAGGGAGCCCCAAGTTCATGCCTCAGTTCCAGCGCGCATGTGCACATCACAGCCTACCAAAAAGACTGAGTCCAGTGGTGGCTTGGCACCTCCTTAAGATATCATCTGCTCAGGGTGCGTGAGCCCAAGGGGACGGCGCTGCCCCCCACGGGGGAAGGAAGGACAGACAGACAACCAGGGAAGACGGCCTAGACGAGTGCTGCTTCTGCCCTTTTCCTTGTTTTTATTTTTTGTCCAGGTGGGGCTTGAACTCGGGGCCTGGGCGCTGCCCCAGAGTCTCTTCTGCTCAAGGCTGGCGTTCTACCACTTGAGCCAGATAGATATGAGGCCCCTTCCGGTCTTCTGGTGGTTCCTTAGAGATCAAATCTCCTGGACTTTCTGGCCCAGGGCTGGTCTTGAACCACGATCCTGCGGATTTCTGCCTCCCGAGCAGCTGGGATGCAGGCGTGAGTGGCAGCGCCTGGCTCAGGCTATTTCTTTATCAGCAGCCACACAACCCTCAAGTTGTGGGGAGGAGGAGGGGGAAGGGGGAGGAGGAGAAGGAGGGAGGAGAAAGTGGGGGGAGAAGGGAGGGGGAGGGGGGACCTTGTGCCCTTGGATCCCGGTGATGAGTGGTCCCCACAGCAGGCTCTAGGCCGTGGCGAGTGGTTTCCTAGTACTCGGCAGGGTAGCCTAGGGCCAGCTGGGGCCAAAGCTTGCCCCTGGCTGGCCGAGGAACGGGGTGGAGTCCCAAGGAGGCCAGCCTGTCCCCCAGAGGGCGCAGAGATCAGAGCCCGCGAGTCCTTGGCTGGCCCCACGAGGAAGACGCCCATCACTTAGGGTTGGTCTGTGGCAGCTGGAAGCCCGCCGCCCCTATTCCCCGGCCAGGGATTGAGCACAGGAGTTCCTCAGGGGGCGGGCGCAGGTGGAGTAGATGAAGTTTTACTGCTCTAACCAATGGACGGCCCTGGAATGACATAGCCTTGTGTGTGTGTGTGTATATGTGTGCGTGTATATATGCGTGCGTGTATATATGTGTGTGTATATGTGTGCGTGTATATATGCGTGCGTGTATATATGCGTGTGTATATTGTGTGTGTATATATATATGTGTGTGTACGTGTGTGTATATGTGTGCGTGTGTATGTATATGTGTGCGTGTATATATGTGTGCGTGTATAGATATGTGTGTGTATATGTGTGTGTGTATGTGTGTGTGTGTGTGTATATGTGTGTGTGTATATGTGTGTGCATGCGCGCGTGTGTTGGCCAGGCAGCAGTGGCTCACCCTGTCATCCCAGCTACTCAGGAGGCGGAGATCTGAGGATTGCGGTTCAAAGCCAGCCCAGGGCAGGAAACTCTTCAAGACTCCTTTTCTTTCTTTTTTTTTTTGGCATGGGTCTTGAACTCTGGGCCTGGGCGCTGTCCCTGAGCTCTTCAGCTCAAGGTGAGCGCTCTATCACTTGAGCCACAGCACCACTTCTGGTTTTCTGGTGGCTTATTGGGAGTCTCTCGGTCCTGCCCAGGCTGGCTTTGAACTGCGATCTCAGCTCTCAGCCTCCTGAGTAGCTAGGATGATGGGCATGAGCCACCAGCGCCCGGCTTTGTGAGGCTCTCATCTCCAATAAACCCCCAGAAAACAGAAAGTGGCTCTGTGGCTCAAGGGGTAGAGCGCCAGCCTGGAACAAAAGAAGCTCAGGGACAGTGCCCAGCCCTGGGCTGGCACCAAAAGCAACAAGCCAAACCGGGTATCTTTGCAGATGTAAATGCGGTCCCATGAGCTACAGACAACCTACAAGGAGATCATGAGATGATCAGAGTCCGTATTCTAGAAAGTTCTCTCTGCCTGTAGCAGGGAAATGGGGGAATGGAGTAAGACTCGAGGAGAAAGGCCATCAGGACCCGAGTAAACACACAGACAAGGGATGGAGACACCAGCAGGTCCATCTTCCCAGCTTTACTGGAGAAACTCAAGAGTGCCTCAGTTTGACCTCTCAGCCTATGGCTGTCAACGAGTTGACCCTGGGACTGTGGCTGACACCTGCTGCCCAACCATACAACATAGAAACCCACACACAGCTGTGTTCTCTGAGGGAAGGAGGGAGGGAGAGAAGGAAGAGGAAGGAAGGAGGGAAGGGAAGGAAGAAAGGAAAGGAAGCAAGCCTTCTTCCTTAGCTTAGTGCCACAGGGACACACCAAACAGAAACAGAAAGCCATTGCTTCCTCCCTCCTGTTATTTGTGTGTGCCAGTCAGTGCTGGGACTTGAACTCAGGGCCTTGCCCTCTGACTTGGCTTTAAGCTCCCACGAGCCATGCCCCCATTTGGCTTTGCGCTGACTCGCTGCAGTATTTCATGGACTGTCCTGACCAAGGCTGGCTTTGAACCATGATCCTCCAGTTCTTGGGCCGAGGAGCAAGGAGCTGCAAATGCGAAGCCAGTAACCCTTGGCTGCAGAGACAGCTTTACATGCAGCGTCCTGGAAACTCGGCACTACATAGTCTTCCAAGGCGGGATTTATGCCAGGAAAAGAGGCCACAAAGCAAAGCAAGCAAGCAAGCTTTATCTTTGCATGAACTCAGCTATAAACACTGGCTAGACAGAGTTCTAAACACAGTTGAGTCAACGAACTTCAGAAACTGTCCACCCCAAAGCAGGACGTAAGTGGCCTAGTACGTGAGGGGATCTTGCTTCTGTAAGCTTCTCGGCTAGATTAAAGACTTGAATGGTCAGTGTACTTGGCTCTGTGCACAATACAGTGCATTAGTGATCCACTGCCATCAGCCTGGCAGGCCTCGGGCTTGGCAAGTCCCAAAAAGCTTCACCCACTCTAGAGAGCATTTATTGCACATAATTTCCTCTATTTCCCTGTGAGATTCACAAGCTCTGATTTTTTTTTTTTTCTTTCTCAAGGCTGGCGCTCTACCACTTGAGCCACAGCGCCACATCTGGCTTTCTGGTGGTTCACTGGAGATAAGAGTCTCACAGACTTTCCTGCCTAGGCTGGCTTTGAACTGCCATCCTCAGATCTCAGCCTCCTGAGTAGCTGGGATGATGGGCATGAGCCACCAGTGCCCAGCTGCTTTGGCTTCTTAAAGGAAAGACAATATCCATCGAATCTGGCTCCGGACTTAGAAAAGAGTCACCCATGGCCTACACTTGTAATCCTGGCTACTCAGGAGGCTGAGATCTGGAGGATCACAGTTCAAAACCAGCCTGGGCAGGAAAGTCCATGAGATTCTTATTGCCAATGAACCACTCAGAAAACCAGAAGTGGTGCCATATACGGCTCAAAGTGGTAGAGCGCTAGCCTTGAGCAAAAGAACTCAGGGACAGCGCCCAGGCCCAGAGTTCAAGGCTCATGGCCAACAACAACAAGTCTTCAAGACTCTTATCTCCAATTAACCAGCAAAAAGACAACAGAGGTGTGGTTCAAGCAGTAGTCTGCCAGCCTGATGCTGATAAACAAAGCCAGGGAAGAGCAGGAAGTCCCTGAATCCAATTCCCTGTACCAGCACACACACCACACACACATACACACCACATGCACACACAAATAATGAAATTAAGGACTTTTTCTTACTAGCACAATATAATGAGAAAGGTCATCGTGGGGTTTCCAGAACAATGAATAACTCGCTTTAGACATGAGAGAAACCTTATGCTTTTCAGAGGCTAAATGAGCTCCCGGGTCTCTGTGGTTAAAATAAATCGTCCATTCCACTTTATGGTTCAAGGCCCAGGCTTCAAAGTCGCCCGAGACCCCCAGGGGTGTTAAAGAATTTGGTCCTTCGGTCAATGGCTTCCGACCTGAGCGTAGCCACAAGACAGCAGCTGCTACCCCGTGTGAGTCTGTCCGGGTGAGGGGGCAAAAAGAACTTTCTAGACTCCACACAGGGTTTGGCTGCTTTTATTACCATATATATATTAAAAAATCCTGCTGCTTCATGGGCCCAGAGAAGGACATCTAGAAGCTTCCTTTAAGCTCACTGTTGGTGTGAAAAATCTTGAAACCATGACTGAAATGAAGAAGAGAATCAAAATAGCAACTTTTTTTTTTCTTTTTTTCATTTTGTTGGATTGGCTGTTTAGTATTCAAACCACCATGGGTCTAACTGTTCGGCTTGATACTCAATAAATGATTTACGGCTCAGCAAGTGATCATGTCATAAAGAAAAAAATCCCAGTAGTTTCCCGTTGGGCGCTG